GGGTGCCTTTCTGACCCAGGACACTGTGAAATTACACTCAGCTAAGGTCAAGGCCTTCTGCGTCCTTAAAGCTCTGGTTAAAAAGCAACTTAGATCTTTAGAAGGGTAGCCCATAAGGCTGCTAGTAACCACTGGGAGACCATTGGTACAGATTAGCGTATCCGATCTGGTCCCATGTAGATGGGACCGGAACAACTTTGCTAGTCACGTGGGGCCGGCCCACACTCGCAGGAGTGAGATTTAGGAGACTGTGTGGGCTGTGGGAGGGAAATCTAGCTCATAGCTGTGTGGCGTTGGGGTGGACTCCGCACATCTTTGATCATAGCCTGGTTTGGTCCTTCCCTTCTCTTCTCAGCTGTGTGCTTACCTATCTCCCCTCTGATCCTGGTTTACTATCAGGCACAGGGGCGGGGATAATAATAGTTACCGTTTATTATAGCACCTACGCATGCTGCTGGGCACTTTACATATATTATGTCTCTTCTCACACCAACCCTTTGAGCAGTGTATTATTAGTCCATTTTATAGATGGAAAAATCCAAGACACAGGCAGTGGAAGTCACTTAAAGTCACTCAGCTGTAGAACCAGGATTGAACTCAGTTTTGTAGGATCCTTTGGTTAGTGCCCTCTAACTCACGGTTTTCAGAAGCAAAGATGTCACGGTCATCTCATTTTGGCCTCACCCCTCCCACCCCTACATACCCAAACTAACATGTATCGTGATGTAAAGTACCATCAAATAGAATTTTCTATTTTTGAATTTTATAAAACAGAGTCACCTGAAATGCATTCTTTGGCCTTTGAGATCTTTGGTTTACATTACAGATGTGAGCTTTAGTCACGTGGTTGTGGGTTGATTTGTTTTCCAAGTGTGTGATTCGCTCTCATTCATCACATGAAGAGCACCTTATTTTAAAGGACCTCTTGATCTATGGTTAATCGTTCTACCCTTGAATTGCTACAGTGGCTGACTCCCATGGTTTATCCTGCTATTCCATGTGCCTTCTAGACAGGCTTAATCCTACTGAAACATACTTCCATTAAGGTTTTGCTAACCTTAACAATCATTGATTGATTAATATATACCGAGGCAGCCTGTGGCCATAGTCTTCACCCCAAATTGTTCTTCTCTTGATCTACACCCCTTTGCTAGGAGGCAGACACTCAAATTGTCCAGGTACTTGAGTCTTCATAGCAAAAACAAGTCTGTTCTGAGATAGTGACAGGTTGAAGTTTCTCTAAGATCTCTTGGGAGGTTTAATACTTTTAATAGCTTAACATGCTTCTTTAGCCTTATCGTCCCCATGTACAAAACGAGGGAATGGAGATGCTATGGTTTGGATGCCCTCTTCCCCACCCCCACCCCGCCCCAAGCTTCATGCATAGAGAATTTCATCTCCAAATTTGTTTGCAATAATACTTAGAGATGAGGCATTTGGGAGGCGACTGGGATTAGATGCAGTCAGGAGAGTGGGTGGGTCTTCTTGAAGGCTGTAATGGCTCTTCATGAGGAAAAAGCTCAAGTTGTCACCCTGGCTGTGTCTTGTCATGTTGTGATGCAATCAAAAGGCCCGTACCTGATGCCCCTTGGCAAGCTGCTCACGCCATACATGTGGCTTCTCCAGCTCCAGACCCTAAACCAACTTCTCTTCTTCATAAATCACCCAATCTCAGCTATTTTGTTGCTGCAACAGCAAAAAGAAGCTACGAAGGGTGGCAATGATATCGGTCACAGAAAAGGCAAAGCAAGTGTGATGAAATGTGGGATGGAAGTTCCTGTAGTTACCATGTGACTTAACGATGCAGGCATTTCGTGTTTCTGTCCAGGTTTATTTGTGGAGGAGGTTTGAGAGAATCGATGGTGAAGTCTGCTGAAAGAAAGGAGGACACTGATTAAAATTAGTCTCTAAATAGGAGGTTTGGCTGGAGCTCAGCTCTCAAGAAGAGACCAGAGAAAGCTAAAAATAAAAGATCAGCTAAGAGAAATCATTCCATCCACCTCCATTAAGAAGCATTAGGGGACTCAGCACCCTGTTGGCACTTCCGGGATATACTGTGTTTCTCTCTGTTTACGTACTCCTTAAGCTCCCTCGATACCTCTGCAGTATCAAAGCTCTCTAAAGCGTTCTGCTTTTTCCTAGGGGCAAAAAAGGCATGGAGAATCTGTGAGCCAGTGTTGCTTGTCTAGCTTGGGTTATGTGGAAGAGGAATCTCAGCTTGAAAAATGGATAGAAGAAGCCACACAAGGGAGGTGAGCTGATTCCAAGGGTGATGGAAGAGAAAAGGGTAGGTTGTGTGGGAATTAGCTTGGAGTTATGCATCACACCCAAGTGTGTATTTAGAGATGAGCCTTTACCTAAATACCTTCTTACCTCCGTTCTTATCAGATCTCACAGCAAAGCTAAAAAAAAAAAAAGCATCGATTCACATCCACTCTAACACCCCAATTCATTTCTGCATCAGTGGACTGTAAAAGCGTACACGTCAGTCATGTGGAGGAGCTGTGATTCAGATTTCTCATGGTCGTGTTTGTGGGTCTCGTGAGAACTCTTGCCTCCCTACTGTGCCTTGTTTGCATGGCTGCCTGAGAACACAGCAATGCAGAGCCGAGCTGAGGAATTACTGTGTGGTGTTATTAACACCCAGGCAGGTAGGCGGGTGGGAGGAAAAGGAAGAGAGTACACTGTCTTAGTGAACCGAGGCATGTCAAAAATTTAACAAGGGCAGGCCGAGGCAAGTGCCAAACGCAGTCCCCCGGGAACATGGTGAGATCTTGGTCATTGTCAAGAGTTTACTGGTTAGATCTTGGGAGGGGAAAGGAAAACGGCAAACTGATAGTGGTTTAAAGTTGATTTTCAGTTTAGCAGGCATGGGCGGGGAGAGGACTAAAGTAGACTGCCAGCTATGTGTTCCAGGCTAGTATAGTTTAATTCTAGACTGTTTTGCCAGTCTAGGCTAGCGTCTCTAGGGAATTCATTTCTACAGAGAGCCAGAAAGAAGGCTGGCATAAGCCAAACTTATTTTAAAAGGTGAAAAGGTTCCTTTGGCTTTAAAATTGTATTATTATTATTTTTTTTTTATCTTGTCAAAGAAGTTCTCCCAGCACTTGAGAGGCAGAGGCAGGTGAATTCCTGAGTTCGAGGCCAGACTGGTCTACAGAACAAGTTCCAGAACAGCTGGGGCTACACAGAGAAAGCCTGAATCAAAAACAATCCCAACTCCCCCCAAAAAGGACTTGGTAGTGTGAGATCTCTTATTTGAGCATAGATTGATTTGCTTTCTAATTTTGAGCTGCAAAAGTTTTGTTAAAGAATTCTAACAGATAACTTAAAACTTCATCTTAGTTACTCTTCTATTGCTGTGATATGGCTGAGGCAACTTGTGAGAAGGAAGGGTTTATTCTGGGTTTCTGTTTCCAGAGGGTTGGAGTCTGTGATGGTGGACCAGAGGGAGCAGGGAACAGGCAGCTGGGCCAGCAGCTGGGGGCTCACATCGTGGACACCAAACAGAAAAACAGAGAGAGCAAACCCAAAATTGTGCGAATCCTTCGAACAAGCCTTCCTCCAGCAAGACTGCACTTCCTAATCCTTCCCAAGCAGCCACCTACAGAGGACCAAGTATTCAAATGCCTGAGACTTATGGGGGGATATTTCATTCAAACCACCACAGATTTCTTCTAACTTCATTAGAAAGTTGCTATTATAAGTTACTGTTATATATACTATATATTATATATACATCTTATATACTATTACAAATGCATTATATATTGTATATATTCCAAATGTGTTTTAAAGTTACTCTTCTATAGACACACTGGTACATATACATTTGCACATACAGACACTAACAGCCGCTGGTAAGAGACTAATGTACACCTCTCTAAATCTATCCCTGAGCTTGAGAGAGAGCTCCCCCACCCCCAAAACCCGGCCATACACTCTGAGAGCCACCTAGTGGTCAAGGTTGGTAACTGCATCAGCTCCTTCGAATTCCAGGTATGCCAGCCAGGGACATTTGTTGACAAATATCGTAGAGAAGCAGGGGAACACTTTTCAGTGAGATGTGTTGGTGGCATCACTATCACATATTGCCATGATTATAAAGATCGGTAGGCCGTGAGGCAGAAGGCTTTCTTGTTTTCTTCAGCTCACTAAGGACGGCCTTCCAACCAGGCCAGGAAGGAAGGGAGGAGTTTGCCATGAGATGACTTAACTCTTAAATGGGCGGCTTCAAATGCAACAAAAAGCAGAGAACAAGTGATCTAGGAAGTGCCTGAGGAGAGAAAAGGACAGCCACTGTTATCTCCCCCCGCCCCCCCCGCCCCGTGTGTGTGTGTGTGTGTGTGTGTGTGTGTGTGTGGTGTCTGCGCTGGAGAGAGGGATTTACAGACAGACCATCTTATGCTAAAGTTGGTATATCTTCTGGGCAGGCCACCAGTGAGGAAAAAGGTGGCTGTGTGGTGTTCTTCCTTTTTCTGCCTCTGATTCCCTCCAAACTCTCAACGGTTTCTCTTCCTTAGTCGTTCCCTCCTCCCCCTTTCTCTCTTCTTCCTTTATTTTCTGCCCTCCATGTTTGGAATTCCTATCTCTATATTAGAGTAAAAGAAAGGCCCAAGACCCCCTGTACTGGGTGTTTAATATACTTAGTTTTTATTGTTTATTTTGAGAGCTACTGAGGTTAGTAGAAAGAGTGTCAGACCTGGAGCTAACCTCGCTGGGTCTGAGTGCTTTCTCAGATGGATTCCATAGATTTCCGTGATCCTGTTACCTCTGTGGCTGAGGCTGCATTCATATATAGGAAGGACTCTGGTTAGAGTCAGAAAGAGAAAGCTGAGGGAGTGCAGGAAGCTAACTTTGGCAGGATATCTATGGAAAAGGTGATTTTTATGTTCACCCTCCAGTGTGACTTCAATGGTGTAGTTTTGGCCCATTCATTCAGCAGAAATTTACTAAACTCTTCTGGTAGACTGGACACTGTCCTAAGCATTTTAGACACAATGGCGAATAAGAAAATAGGAACCCCTACTCACCTGGGCTCATTGCTCAGGTGAGGAGGAGGACAGGGAGACAGGTGGCACCTTGGTAAGCAGCAGAACATAGTTTTCAGTTGGTGAGAAACACTAGGAGAGAATTAAAATAGGTGAAAAGGAAATTGGATTATTGGAGGTGGTGTCGATGATGTAGATAGAGTGAGGCTTGAACAAAGCGGGAACAAGCTGTATCTGCTGTCAGAGGAAGAGCAATTCCTGAAGGTTAGGCAGGAAGCTAGGACATAGCAGAAGGGCAGTGGCCTTAGCTGAACAGGAGAGGAGAAACCTTGAAGCTGGGAGTCAGTGGGGCATACTGGGACTGGAGACAGGTCACTTGAACACAGACATTGCTTCAGGCTTGGGCAGGCAAAGCTTGATAAGTACACACTAGGAGAGTGGCATCTGCCCAAGAACTGTTGTGGTATTGTGGTGACCTAGGCTGAGGTCAGCAGGAAGAAGGGGAGATAAGGCCAATAAAGTGGTCTAGAGCTGGCCTTTGGGAACCTGTAGCTAGAGTTTTTCTGCCTGGCCCACAGTCAGGACAAATCTCTCTCACCCGCCAGTCCCATAGCCGCTCAGACCCAACCAAGTAAACACAGAGACTTATATTGCTTACAAACTGTATGGCCGTGGCAGGCTTCTTGCTAACTGTTCTTATATCTTAAACTAATCCATTTCTATAAATCTATACCTTGCCATGTGGCTCGTGGCTTGCCGGCATCTTCACATGCTGCTTGTCATAGCGGTGGCTGGCAGTGTCTCTCTCTCTCTCTCTCTCTCAGCCTTTCACTTCCCAGAATTCTCTTCTCTGCTTGTCCCACCTATCTTTCCTGCCTGGCTACTGGCCAATCAGTGTTTTATATACTAACCAATCAGAGCAACATATTTGACATACAGAACATCTCACAGCAGGGACTGGCTTATGGAGCTTGAAATTCCTTCTCTGTAAATCAGAGCCAGCAATAATTCTGCACATGGAAGCCATTTGCTTAAATAAAGCTGCTATGAACATCATTGAGCAAGTGTCCTTGTGGTATGGTTGAGCTTCCCTTGGGTATATGCCCAACAGCGGTATAGCTGGGTCTTGTGGTAGGTTGATTCCCAGTTTTCCGAGAAACTGCCACACTGACTTCCAAAGTGGCTGTACAAGTTTGCACTCCCACCAGCAATGGAGGAGTGTTCCCCTTGCTCCGCATCCTCTTCAGCATGAGCTGTTGCTTGTGTTTTTAATCTTAGCCATTCTGACAGGTGTAAGATGGAATCTCAGAGTAAGAACGGGTGAGATTCCTAATGGACATTTGTGAAGGTTTGCAGGGTGGTATGGATGGGGAGGCTTCTGTCTCCCCACAGAGTTGCTTTGCACTATGAACTGTGCAGTTCTCCTGGAAGAATGGGATAGAAAGAAGAGTGTGACCTGCAGGAAGGGTAGCCTTTGCTCTCCTCCGCTGCTTGTCTCCTGGTAGCAGGACAGAGCAAGTAGAAATTTCAGTCAAACTCTGACATGTGTTCCCTCTCCTTTTTTTCCTTCCGATGTGTGACATTCCTGCTGGCTGCTCTTCTAGCCTTGCCCTTTGCTCTGTGATTCTGCCCTGTGATTTGAGTTTTGCTTTGAATCCCCCAGTAGTGGCTGCAATGGAAGTTAGGGGTACTGTCTGTGAGCTTCTCTGCATCCTTCTGGTTCTTTCCTTCAGTGCCAGCCTCTCCACTGACCTCAGGTCTAGGCTTCTGCCAAAAGGTTATGTTTGTGCAGATGGGGCTCTTAAGTCTACCCGGTTCTTTACTCGTCTTTTATGTCCTCATGGGGATTGAGTTCACCTTCTTTTATTACTTTTCTGGCTTAACATATATCCCACACTGTCTCTGCACAACTCTGAGAACTGAAAACAACTCAAAACAATAACAAAACCCCTACTGGAAAAATGGCAGCTACTTTGTCGTTATTGTAACTATTTTAACCTTTGTCACAGTTCCTCACGAAGCATCCAGTTGTAGCAAGCTGATAAGGAGAGCAAGAAAAAGCATAGGTCTTGTACAGGGAGCTCTTTTGGTCCTTGAAGAGATAAGAGTGTAATACCAAAGTCCGTAGACATTCACATACAATCAAAGCAACCAAATGTCCCAGATATATTGGTCAACCGTACTACTTTTTGCCTTTGATCTTCATTCACTGCTAGCTGTGAGCCTACAGGCAAACCTTTTGAGTCCTCTTGGCTTTGGATAGAAGATCTTACCTGAGTTCTGGGGTAGGACTTCATGGTGTGCTCTAAAGACCCTTTAACATTAAGTTCACTAATTAGAGAATGTCATCTGCTTGGCCCCCAGAAACAAAGTCGCGGGTGATCTAACACAATTTCAGAATAATTTCTTTTTCCCATGGAGGAATTCTGAATTAAGGTCACAAGAAAGAAACAAGCTACAATGCAGCCTTTACCGTACATGCTACTATGTGGGGAGGTTAGGAATGGAGCTCCCTCTGCACGCCTCTGGGAGGTCCTGAGACAGAGCACTGATGCCAGCTCTTTCCGTCAGACTCGCTGGAACCACGATTGTCCTGAACATTCTACATTCATTGCAGTTTGGTCTTACAGGGACTTACGATTTGCTCATCTGGTGGATAATGAGACTTAATTCAGTAAAGGCCAAGTGACTGGCTCAGGGCTCTGCATCTGTCAACACAAAGAGGACCTTCAAACTCAGATAGTCTGAAACCAGAACTCAGAATATCAGTCGCTGCATTTGGCCCTTGCTTGTGCGTGGACAGCAGGGATCCGATTTATGTGAGTATCTTGGTAGGGGTGACCAGGTTCTTTGGGGTCCATGGATTGAGAATATTCACAAAATAATGAAATAGTAAAAAAACACGTTAGATGTCAGGGAATGAGCATCCAGGTCTGGAGAGAATGAAGGTAGTTAACTAACACGGGCAGCTGGTCTTAACATCAAAGCCATGGCAGGGTGTGATGTGTGTGTCTCCTAGGGCTGGAGAGGAGGCTCAGCAGCTAATAGTACTTGTTGCTACTGCAGATAACATGGGTTCTGTTCTCAGGACCCACATGGTTGCTCACAACCATCCATAACTCCGGTTCCAAGGCATCTGAAACCCTCTTCTAAACCCCCTGGACATCAAACATGCATATGGTATGCGTATATACCTATATATACATACGCACATATATATGTATATATACACACATATATACACATATCATATATATGTATGTAGGTGAAACACTCATATGTACAAAATAAAAAAAATCTAAAAGAGTGAGCAATTGAGGGACTCATACAAGCTCCTGTGAGATCCAACTGCAATGTGTACATAGTGCTTAGGAGAATTCTGGCTCAGATGAGCCCAGCAAAAGAGCTATCCACAGTCATCTCAGAGCCCACCAAACAGTTATAGGACATTGTTACTAGAGAATGTTCTGTCACTGTTAAGGAATTAGCTAAGACCGCTAATACACTAATAAGGGGAAGGCTGTATGACTAGTAGTTGAATTAATAAAGCTGTTTCAGAAAAATGCCTACATATACTTGTTTATCAATTATGAAAACACACATACACAAAATATAGGTGTCTGAATCTTAGCAGTCTTGAGGTGATGGAAGAACGAGAAGCATCCCCCTCAGAAGCTCAAGGGGCTCTTGTCAACGTTAAGGACAACAGAAAAACAAGGACTCACCCTCAGGCAAGGCAGCTTATCCAAATATAGAACACTCACATGTCCCAGTTTGAAAGATGTTTTACACTTAAAAGATCAATTTGTACCCAGCCTGGGGGACAGATGACACATAACAATGGCACTAGACTTTGTGCACCCCGCCAACTCGTTGTGTGGGTCTCTAGTCAGGGTCCTCCCCTTGTGCGCTCACACGCCTACACACAGCTGCTCAAGCTTCTTCTCTCACAGCTGTTGTGTTCCTGCTGTTGCTGTCCATCTCGGTGACCGCTTCCTGCCCTTGACCTTGCCTCCCCACCAGCTTCCTGCTGCTCCCAGGAAGGAGAAGGCTCATTTACCGGAAAGATGCCCTCTCCATCAACTCTGGAGAGCTGATTCTTCAAATGACCACGGAGACCTGTTTTCCCACAGAAGACACACTTGGATTTCTTTTAAAGATTTTCCATTTAGTTTTCTGTGTATGTTTATATGTCTGTGCCTGTGTGAGTTTTAATGCATAGAGGTGCCAGTAGAGGTCAAAGGGCAACTGAGTCTCTGGAACTGAAGTGACAGGTGGTTGTGAGTCACCTGATGTGGGTGCTGAGAACTGAACTTGGGTCCTCTGCAAGTACAGTAAGTACTCTTAACTTCGGAGTCACCTTCCGTTCCCCAGGAGATGTAGTTTATTTTGTGTGTGTGTGTGTGTGTGTGTGTGTGTGTGTGTGTGTGTGTGTGTGTGTCTACTTTTAGATTTATTCATTTTATTTTGTGTGGATGAGTGTTTGGCCTGCATGCATGTATGTGTACCATATGCATGCTCTACCCAAGCAGTTTAGAAGAGAGCATCAGATCCCCTGGAACTGGAGTTGTGAATTGTTGAGAGCTGCTATGTGGGTGCTAAACCACTAATTAAACCAAAGTCCTCTGCAAGAGCAGTTGGTGTTCTTAACCACTGAGCCATCTCCTCAGCCCTTATTTGCTCATTAGATGGGGAAGTTGAACTCAACTAGAGGCCAAGTAACCATCTCCAGTAACTCTGGACTAGGGTTTCTGCTCTGGTGTGAATATGGACAGGATCCTCCAAAGGCCCACATGTTGAGGACTTGGTCCCAGTGGTGGGGTTTACTGGAAGGTTTGGAAACTTTAGGAACTGGGCACTGGCAGGAGGTTTTAAATCTATTGCATGTAGTTTTTTGTTTGTTTGTTTGTTTGTTTTTTAACTCTTTGCTTTTTTGGAGAGGCCAGCCCCCGGCTCCCAAATAATCCCACAGAGGCTTATTCTTACTTTTGAATGCCTGGCCTTAGCTTGGCTTATTTCTAGCCAGCTTTTCTTAACTTATCCACTACCTTTTGCCATT